ATACATAAAATGATAACTTAAATTATAATGAAAGCAGACGACACCAACCCAATCTGTTCTGTGCCTTTGTTGCTTTCGACGTAATATTTTCTTCCAAAAATACCTACTCGTGTCTCCACCAAAACAGATTATACTAAAAAATCTGCTCATATTCATGCTGATGATTCAAATTAAGTTATCTATAATTCCATGCATTGCATCTCAGCATGTTCAACTTGAGGGAGGCAAATATACCAGGAATTGATTGATTCACTAGAAAGTTTTCTATTGAAGGTGGTTATTAACTTTCGGTATTCCGGCTTCCTTCGTCAATAAAAAGTTCACTTTTACTTTGAGGTTTTTATTCACTATAAAACATATTTTGAAAGGTGCTAAATATATCCAATGTAGATTTTGAAAGTTGGCAGATATTACATGTAACACTTAAGTCTCCTTCGAAACTAAAATTTGAGCAACACTAACCCAACAATCAATCATCAACTGTTATAGATGTTATCATATTTTAAAGCGGTTCATTACTTGGAAAAACTTTAAATTTTCTGTCATTCCATCACAATACAGTCACGTCTCAGTCCTTTCAGCTGAAAGGACGTGCTGGATCAGCTTCTGATTATCCGTTAGCTACAACATGTTACGCTGCTCAGATGGTTCAACGACAAACTAGTTTATGAGGCTCCCGTACAGTAAACCCGCGTTAGCGACACTCTGAAACCCATTGTGGATGGGTGAGTGTCATATGCTGTCCAGACGTCCGAGGGCTAGCTGTATCGTAGTTTTAGTGCAATTTGCAGTCATCTACTACGGAGTAAATGATTCATCTACCAGCAACACATCGTCGTGGTTAGCGGGCTGCCCAGCTGATCAACCTGGCCCTGAAAGCAGCCGTAGTGGAGTCCATACTGCAAAGAAACATCAAAATAGTTAATAAACAGCTGCGCCATGAGTGCATGATACGCCCGTCGTCTTGTGTGAATTTTTATGCAATAATCATAAATAGTTTCTGACATACGGTGCGACATGCGAAAACCCCCCTTTTTTTTTACAAAAAACTCAATATCTCTAAAATAAAATTTTGAATCAAAACCAAAAAGTATAATATAACTAAGAAGTGTTTAAAGTTTTAAGCAATAATCATAAATTGTTTTTGAGATACGGCGCGACATGTGAAAAAAACACACCTGTTTTAGTTACTAAGTCCCGTAACTCAAAAAGTTTTAATCTTATTTTCACCAAAAAGTATACAGATCGTTTGACCATCATAAGAAACAACTATGTTAAGTTTCATGAAATTTGGATAAGTCGTTCTCAAGTTACGGTGCGACATGTTTACGCCGGACAGACAGACGGCAGACGACATTTGTATACCATAATATGTCCCGTCAAAATTTTGACGGGCGTATAAAAACCAAACCAAAACAACCCACGTAAACCAAGATGGCCGCCTACCAAAATGGCGCCTTCCACCTGTTCCTGACCAACTCAGCTACAGAAAATATTCAATGCTCAACAATCGCCTCCGGGCACCAGCCGACCGTGCGAGGGCTGTATAGCCAGTCAAGGTCGGTAAAAACTCCCATCATCATCAAATTTTCTGTATTTTCGGTTTTTAAAGCTCTTTAACTTCGTATTTGGTATGGCCTCATGAACTGATTTTTTTGTTTCTTATTTTGTCCCTTGTCAGTCATATTTTTTGTATCTATTATTTATAAACCAAAATTTAAAATACCATTTTATAAATGTGTTTTCTTTATTTACCTTCATCTGGAACGCTCATGCACAAAAAAAAATTAAAGCCAATGGAGAGTTCTTGAACAGAGTTTTGTCTTGTGGGATATCTGGATTGGCACTCAAATTTGTCAGTCTAAAATACATTTCCATCCCTCCAATCTTATAATTTTTTTTAATTCATTTTCTTGTGTCAGACAAAACAAACTGGCTTATAACTTTATTCACGACTAACTTCAAAATCCTATTTCAACTGCCAATTTCACTCAACCATTCTTTAAATCTTTTTCATATAACACATAATCCATTTCTTTACGCAAGATTGAACTTCGATAAGTAAGATGGAATATAAAATTTAACGCAAATAAAAAAGGAGATATTAAACATTAAAACATGATAATCTAGAACACTAGTGATATTAGTGATTATTTTTGTGGGTCTATCCGTAATCGGCCTATGAAAGTCCCCGCTCCCCTAAATTTCGCCACGAGAATTCAGGGGAAAACGTCTAACGAAACTCCGTTAATTTCAAATCGTTTGATCCTGTGCAGTATTTTCATTAAACACTCCGTTTTTCATCACCAAGTAGAAGTTGAAAATGCCTGTAAATGATTCTAGAACACACCACGAGTGTTAAAATAAGTCAAAATCACAACAACAACAAAAACAATTGGAAAAGTTGTGTTTGATATTAACAGGAAGTACAAACAGCACGTATTAATCGAAATAAATACGAAGCGAGTGTGCGGAAAATCATCACTAAAATACGACTTTGAAAATGAAAGAACCTTAGTGAGCGCGCTCACATACCCCACGTCCCCACATTGTCATTGGAGAAATAAAATAAGTGCAAGAAAAAAAAATTGTATCAGAAAAAAAATTGAATCATAATTTCCTGTCAATATGCACATCTACATAGTATGTCCTTATTATCTACACAGTTTCATGAAATTCTGTTGTGTGGTTTGAGAGGAGTTGCGATGACAAAAGGTTGCAGTAGTATATTGGGCAAATAAGTTCAAAGGGGCGTAACTCCTGGAAAAAATTGAATCGTAATTTCCTGTCGATATGCACATCTACGTAGTATGGCCTTATTATCTGAAAAGGTTTCATGAAATTCTGTTGTGTGGTTTGAGAGGAGTTGCGATGACAAAAGGTTGCAGTAGTATATTGGGCAAATAAGTTCAAAGGGGCGTAACTCCTGGAAAAAAAATTGAATCGTAATTTCCTGTCGATATGCACATCTACGTAGTATGTCCTTATTATCTGAAAAGGTTTCATGAAATTCTTTTGTGTGGTTTGAGAGGAGTTGCGATGACAAACTGTTGCAGTAGTACATTAAAGTAAATAAGTTCAAAGGGGCGTAACTCCTAGAAAAAGAATTGAATCGTAATTTCCTGTCGATATGCACGACTACATAGTATGTCCTTATTATCTAAAAAGGTTTCGTGAAATTCTGTTGTGTGGTTTGAGAGGAGTTGCGATGACAAGAAACAGGACTGACGGACTGACGGACGGACGGACAGACGGACGGACAGACGGGTCAAAAACATTATACCCTCCGCAACTCGTTGCGTGGGGTATAATAAAACAGTTCCGTCCTTTAGTAAAATACTGTTAAATATATCTATCACATGAATCTTTAGCTAAAACAACACATGCGTCAGTATTAAACACCAAAACGGAACGAATAACCGATTACGTTTTGTAGTTCCCGAAATGAGTTTCAGAAGGAATCAAATTTTGGGGTTCCCGAGATGAGTTACAGAAGGAATCAAATTTTGGGGTTCCTATTTTGGGGTTCCCGAGATGAGTTACAGAAGGAATCAAATTTTGGGGTTCCCGAGATGAGTTACAGAAGGAATCAAATTTTGGGGTTCCCCAGATGATTTACAGAAGTAATCAAATTTTGGGGTTTCCGAGATGAATTTCAGATGAAACAAATTGTTGGATTCCTTTTCCTTTTGATGGAAGAGAATATTCAATGAGCATAACGGTCCCTAGATCAATGATCAATAGTTATTCGTTATACATGTATATATCATATATACTCAGTTTTGAATAGGTGTTGGCAAAAACAGTGCTAAGACATCACGACAAATCTTATTGATAAAGTAGTATATCAATTATAGCGTTAAGTTAAAGTATGATATTTGACACAGAAAACTGACCTACCCATCGTCGGAAGTAACCCTTTTGTTGAGAGCATTAAGAAGTGATAAATAAATGTACAGCAGGAAATCTACTTTATAGTGTCATTTCCTTTCAAAATGTATTTTGACATATCACAGTATCCTTAGCTTTCATTAATAAATTTATTCACAATTTAAATATCCCATAAAAAATAAAGGAGATTAACTTGATATTTTAAGAACACCGTAAATTTCGGTGACAAATGGTAAAGTTAAACTGATAACAAATATATAGTATTGATTTTTTTGCAGTAATAACATGTTTATGTAATAGTATACAATATAACATCAGTTTGAATGGGACCAACATGGGTGAGGCTTCCTCTTTGTCTGAATTTTCAAGTTACCAGAATTTTTAGTTATCATCAAAGTGGAAGGGGATAATTGGACCTCGACGATCACGCTCTCAGAAACTAATAGACATGCAGCCAGAAAGTTCGGTGTGCAGATGAACTTTTGAGAGAATGAACATGTGCTAAAAAACGAAGTTCATGTTACTCATTTGACAGGGTTCAGCGGCTCTGATTAAGATTGAAAACTGTTAAACTCCATTGCCCTTATTAAGTTTTTATGTCCAAAGGAAGATTCAGATACTATGTGACATTCAATCAAATAATTTGGTGAGGTGAAACGGTAATACTGTAGTGTATAGAATACCATATCAACTATGCCACTCTAACGTACAGTATTGACATCTAAGTTCATATTTCAGATACTTACATACTAACAATAATACCATGGTCTAAGGATGAATATAGGGAGTAAAGTCGCCTCAAATACAACGTATGCCACTTTGACCTATATTTTACACTTCACTGATTCGAATCGCAACTTTCAAGCCTAAAATCATTCTCACAATCTTAGTGACCAAACTTGTTCTTTTACACCGGAGTTAAATATGTAGAATGTCAATTTGACAAATATCAAAATACCAAGCAAGCTTTATTACATCAATTGAGGCTATTAATGTAACTTGAACATTAATACCTATGTTTCTGAATGTAAATTCACTAAGATCGCATATATACAATTACAACAAATACAACTAATATCCCACACTTTTGACAGGATAGATGAAAAAAATAAAGAAATAGTTTTATTCTTTATAAAATATGCAAAAAATTAACAATTAGTAGAACATTTCTAAAAAACGTAATTTTTTAAAATTGGTTGAGAAACAAAATGGTTCAACAGCAAGCAAAATACCCTAATGTGACATAAACTGTATTTTTATTTTTTCAGTTGCAATATTCAAAAACACATTCTGCATTACTGCATGATAAATAATATAACTTCTTCATATTTTCTTGTTAAGATATCCATTATGTTATTCCTTATACAACTTGTCAAAGAGATAATTACGAGATATCATAAGACTTTGTGTCTACTAAATACCAAAAAGGTCATTAATGATTGATTCATTGTTGGTTGCTTAACGTCCAGTTGCAAATATTTCATGCATGTTCAGGACGATCAAGGATGATGATGTAGCTTTCAAAAAATGGTTCACAAACAATGGTTTATTGCATGAATATTTGTTATCTTCAAAACTTAAGTATAATATCAAAATTAAATAACATATTGCTGATTAAATTCCAATATATTTTCCTACTATGATCACGTTTTTTTTTTTCTTCTCTAGGAAACTATGATCAAACCAGGAAACTTTTATCACATGTAACTTACAATTTCAAGTAGTTTGTGCATTTAAAAAAAAAGAAAGATTTTTAATTATGGTGTGTAAATCAAACATTAGCTCGTGCAATTTAGCAGCAAAATTCATCAATATTAATGCAATAATCCATTATTATAAAATAAGTCCATTTCCGCGTTTACATTGTTTTTAAACCTCAAAAGTTTTAAAAAAATAATAGACTGGAAGTTGTGAAACTTCCTGTGTTATATTTAAAATATTTAATTATATTTTTGTAGTGTTCTGCTGCATTTTTACTTTCAACCATATTTTGTCATGTAACTTAAATATTCTGAGCACAATGTCAGTTAAACTTAATGCAAACTAAAACTGATTTCATTTATTAAAAAATATTCAAAACCTCTAAGAAAGATGCTGGTAATCTCTAATCTTAATATAATCCGTTATACAATTTTTTGTTTAGCAATAGATTTCATTTTGAATTTTTGTAACCATTTCAACTTTTTAAAAATCGTATTTTACAAGTAAAATATATATAAGGAAGAATGAAAAAGATAATCTGGCAAGTAAGGCCATATAAAACTATGACAAATACTAACTGATTGTTCTTTATCTGTCATCGGTCAACATACAACAGATTATACGTTTTGCTATCTGTGTGTCAAATACATTGCACAAGTTAACCCTACATTTCAGAATGTTGTAAAAAGATTAACACAACGTTCATCTTGATTGGGTAATAATAAATGCATTTGTTTTAAAACATTGCTGGTCTTTCGATTGTACTTTACCCATTCATATTTTGTTCACTGTAACTAAAGATAATTATATTCTTCTTATTTCATAACTTCAAAAAATGTTCATCAACATAAACATCATGATTTCTTATTCAGCTCATGAATCTACTTAAAATCATAAGAACTTGTGTCAGTCAAAGGAATACATGAAATATCTTATATCTGATAATACCAAATTTAGTAGTGAAAACATCAGCATTAAATGCTATTCAAATTGTTTATCATAAATGCAACAATTAAAAGATCTATAGAACCAGATCAAAATCAATTGTGAGGCTAACACTGAATTTCTGGGAAATATAGTTAAGATAACAACATTTAACCAATTCAGTGTTCTATAGCTGGAGGTACTTTACTACATAGATTTCTTCCAGTCTAGGTAAAGCATTGAAGTCAGTTTGCTACACGGATATCCTAAATTCTGAGCAAGAAATTGGCTGTGCGAAAGGATTGGGGTCAGTTTGCTACATGGTCACCTTAGATTCTGGGTAAGAATTGGGCTATGGCCTGTTGTAAGGCTCTATATCAAATCTTCTCGAAAAGCCCTCGTTTTCCTATGGCCGAGGAAAACTAGCCAACCCATTATCCAGATCATCCACTTTTCACATCCTACCATTTGATAGAGTTACAATGTTCTTGTGTTGAATAATATCGAAATATCAACAAATCAGCTGAAACTGAAATACTTTTACAATATACCCCAAGATAATAATATTCACATGAATAACGTGTAGAATCGTAAATATTGTTATACAACACTGTCAAAAGCACCGGTTTAATAAAAGATTTTATGTATTATGACAAATGTGTGTCAATATGATATCAGATCTAACTGTTACTTATCTGTCTTAGTTATATGCATAAAAGATCACATACCTAATTTCGTATGTTAAACCATCCTTCGCACAATTTGTCTTTCCTGTCAATGTTTTTTACGAAAAGCCATTAACAATGATTTGAATTTTTTTCACAAATCGAACCTTAAAATATAGGCATGCTCTTTAAAAAATCATATTCCAAATCTAAGTTTCTTTTGGTATCGATCATTTAGTAGTTCAAGTAGCAACAAAAGTAATACATATATGCAACGATGGCTAAATAATAGTTCTGACTAAATAAGTTAGAAATAAGTAAAAACTCTTTTGATTTCATCAAGAATGGAGATATAAGAAGGCACACACATGAAAGCTATAAAAATCAATAAAATTTCACATGATAGTATTTATAGGATGTATGTATGTTCAGTAACAAATATTATAAATATTTCTCTTGTAATATTTCTACTATTTATTACAACCCATTATGTTATCAGTTAATGTAATTTCATCCTTTTTCAAAAAAAAAAATCTGACTAAAGCTATTTCTGGTAAAAAGAAGTAAACATATCAGGTAGTGTCTAATGCAAAAACATGTGCAACCTCACATTTCCCCCAATCAACAAATGCTAGGTATTGTATTGCACAGACTAAATACATATAATAAAATGCTATGGCCTATAAACAAATACATTTAAATCATTTTCCAAGAACATATTTTCCAAGAACATTCACAGAATATAAATGTAAGTTTCACAACTGTAATGTAAATGTGAATTAAGTATATATATACCAAATTTAATCCGGAAAACGCACTTCGGACTTTTTACTTGAACTATAGCAGGCACTAATCTTCACTTAAACCCTGTGACACTTGAGTAAGGTGAATGAATTTAATTTGAAGTGATGAGTTAAATGAACTCAAGTTATAATATAACACATCTCACTTTTCTTCTTGCAGATTTCCTTTTTACTTTAGGGTCCAATACTGCTATAAGAGCCTCATCAAAAACGTCTTTTAGTCCTTGTCTTGTTAAAGATGAACATTCAACGTAACAGTCAGCGTTCACTCGTTTTGCTAATTTTTGTCCTTCTTCTAGGGTAACAGGTTTTTGCCTACGTTTTTGCAATTTTTGTTTAACTTTTTCGTCGTCTCTAAGGTCACACTGAGTCCCTACGATTAAATATGCTGAAGACGGTGACTGATGACGTACTTCCGGTATCCATTTAAGTTCCAAATTTTTCATTGATTCTGGCATTGTAATAGAAAATGCCATTAAGAAAACATGTGTACCGGGGTATGAAAGTAGCCTGAGACCTTGGTACTCTTCCTAAAATATAAGATAAAATAGTTTAACGAAACGAAAAAGGTAGGGCCAAATTCCGGATCCCCTCCATTTCTTTCACGCCAGTGCAATTTTCAAAAGGGGTCAAACTTTACTTAAATTCACAGTATCACAGATCCATGTGCGTACTTTCAGCTTCTATTATGGATCATATCTAAACACATGTAAATTTTATAAAAGCCTGAAGATAGCTCAAAACCTTAATTTTGACGGATTTTGGGATTTGTTTTTGTATTTATCCCCAAAAAGAATAGGATGGACATTTTTAACAAAACCAAAACTCTGTTGGAAGAAATAAATATTGTTTTTGGATACAAATCAATTCATTTTAGTTATAAACGTGGTTCGATGCAAAATTTTACAATTTAAACATGTAAAATTTGAAATTTTGTATCGGCCTCCAATAGCAACATGTAGCGTTGAATCAGTGCACATTTGAATTTTATGGAAATTTGAAAATTTGTTGAAAACTGTTTCAAGTAGATCACATAGACTCTTTTAATATTCAAATTCCTGAATAATTTGAAAACTTTCAAATTTCAACCCTTTGAATGAAACCAATACATAAATATATGGCTCTTTTCCTTCAATTAATTGGTATCGGTGATGTGTTCAGTAATTGTTTTTATAGCATGCGTTATTTTATACAGGAAATTTATTTTCTGGAAAGTGTATGATCACTTCATCTTTTAGATGAAAATCTTATATAAGTACGGAAACAATTTAAAATATATATAAAATAAATATAAAGTCATATGTTATAAGTATATCGTGGCATGTCCGTATAATTAACACAGACGAATCATCAGCAGTTCTGAAATGAATACAACCCCTAAACTATAACCATGTCGAAAAATTTAGGTCAAATTTGGTAATTGAATTGTAACTCTGGCATTTGAAACAGGAACATTAACACACATATATATAGTAGTGTTTATATTAATACTATGTTGAATTAATGTCACTTTGACGAAAATGTATGTCATCAAAAAGGGCATTTCAAAAGAGATTTTGAAACTTTCATTGGAACCCTCTATTTCCCCATAAAAACGCCGAAGTGGTTTTTAAAATACAAAAGCAGTCTGAACTAAAGCCAGCCCCCACTATCTACTTGCGTTTGCAGACTGATACAAAATAGTCTGGATACTATACTTTACAGATTTGTCAATCATTTAAAATATATTATAAAATCAAAATGTTATTCAGCGATACACATTGCACTCGAATTACGACAATGTTGACACAATATTTCAAAATTTTCACGTTTTGTCTCTCTCTAAAACTGTACATCCAAAGACATCTATAACGTTTATGAATTTATTTGTATATGAAAGTCTTTACTTCTTATAAAATTTAGGTTATGATCAAATGTTAGTCATATTCTTTTTGGCATAAAATACTAAAAATATACCAAAATATTTCAAAATTGTAGTCGTGATGTGAATAACAAAATTTCCTTTGAGTGTATCTGTATGCTTTTGAAAATTGGATACATGTTCAGAACCAAGAAATATGACATCGTGTTGTTGCAACTTCAATCCGCAATATTTCGATTTGATTTGATTTGATTTGAAAACAAAACCTAGGAGTAATTGGTCCTACCTCTTTGGCACTTTCATCTAGCTTTTTGGTTTCAAATATGAGGAAAATAGATGTGGGGTATACGATTATGAGACAGCAAACACATGCGACACAAAACCTTTTACCAAAACCTTTTCTTCCTATTTGAATTGCATCGCTGTTGAAAATTGGAACAGCCAGAGGTACTCTGACCGAAGATCACAAAATGATCCTCCCGTCCCTTGTATTCATCTTAATATACAAAGTATTGATCTTGACCATGAAGACCAACCTTGAGTAGTTCAGAGTTTGATACGACTTTGTATATGTGAATATGGGTGTGTAAAGCTGAACAGTGCACGTTTGTGGCATTGACTTTGCAGCAGTCATTCCAACCTTATTCGCCATCATATTTGTAGGGTTTTTTTTAGCAAAACAATCATAACAGTATAATACCAAGTATGATGAATAACCTCAAAGGCATCCTAAACTTGAATTGTAGAACAGACACATAACAGCCATTTACAACCTTGTATGTCATGTATCTAAACCAAAAATGTACGAGGATAGTCTTTGAATCTAGATACATTTATAAATCTTTATCCACAATCCCGAAAAATTTTCACGGTCTACTTTGAAAAATAACTTAAACTAAAAGGTCTTGAAGATTCAACAAGTTGTAAAGCAGGCATCAGAACAACTATAAAAAGACTACTATCCAAACAGGATTAAACAAAGGTGACCCAGTTCTCCAGCAAGCGCATGCTAAAAGGGCAACGTGACAACCAGTTATATACATATTGTAAATCTTTTAGGTTTTAAAGACGTACGTTTAAAACAGATGTGTTTTTGTTTATTCAAATTTCTGGAAGAATACTGGGGGTATGGCCTTTTGTGTATTTTAATTTTTGTATAAGGTTAAATACTTTACTCGTGCATACTTTCAAAATACTTCTTTTGTGAGTATCCAACATCCTTGAACATTTTTTATCAGGTGTCAAAAATACATTACATGATTCAAAATGATATTAAACCAGTCACGTAATATGCATGTTTACCTGGCCGGCTGTGTCAAACAATCCTAGTTGATATTGTTGTCCTTTAACAGTAACTGTCACTAGAAATAAAAATAATAATTGTCAATACAAACGGCTATTGGCTCTTTATTCTTAAATCGAAATTTAAGTATTTCAGTCATAAAAGTCGGGAACAACTACGATTTTATATCGGGTCGAATGAATGTTGTACTCGCACCATTATTCGTGTATTTTTCATGTTATATGCAATAGGAATCTTATTTCACTAATGAAGGTGCAAAGAAGACAAAATGCATATGCAGGTTACATTTTGTGTTAGGGAGCTACCATTTAATATTTATGGGGGAGGGGGGGGGCTAGGATGAAATTTGAAAAAAATAGGCAGGACAGGAGTTTTGAGTAAAAAAAAAGTCAGGATGAGATTATTTGTAAAAAAAAAAAAGGCAGGATGACAATTTATGTAAAAAAAAAAGTCAGGATAAACTTTTTAAAAAATGCAGGACCGAATAGAGTGAAAAATAAAAAGGCAGGACCGAATAGAGGGAAAAATAAATAGGCAGGACAAAATTTTTCATCCTAGCCCCCCATAAAAATCAAATGGTAGCTCCCTTATATACTAACTGTATTTTTCCTAGAGCCTCTTGAGAAATTGTCATGTCTTGCATTTTTACTTTCTTGTTTTAAATGAAGACATATGAAACTGTCTTGATGTCCAGCTATTCAGCAAAGACAATTCTATTCATGTACTGTCAAATTATTCTAGGATAATAAACACTAATTAATTTAAACTGACCAAAGTGTATGATATTTGTAGAGAAAACTATATAGTGTATAAAAGGCCTAAGTAAGGTAACATTAACATTTAAATGGATTTCATTATTGATAAATGTTATACATTAAAGCCTATAGCTAGTTTATGTAGGTCAAGTAAATAAATTGCTGGACTTACTGGTCAATTACTTATTTCTATTTAATTCATGATCACATTGTCAAAATATGTCGGTTTCAAAAAAAATATTGTACAACATTATTGTTTTGTGTCACTACTTCCTAGATTTAGTTTTTGCGTTTAAAGTTCACACATGAATGTAATCTGGTGACACTGGGATTTCCGCAGTATTAGTCATAGTTAGTCTGGGAAGAAAACATCTTTTGTATACACACATAATGTATTGACTTTAATAATGAAAAGTTTAAACAAGGTAGTCCATTATTAGACCGTTAATTATGACAGCAAACTCAGATGGGAACTGTGTTTATTGTTTGTGTGTGTGTTTTGTTCTTTTATATAATTTACAAATACAATTGCTTTCAACAGGAAGCCTTAAATGTATTTAATTCAGGTCGAATCTAAATGATGTCAAACGTCCAGTCACTACACTTTTTAAAGCTATCTACATTATATAATTTAGATTAAAGTGGATTTTCGATGTACAACAAATCAAAATTTAATATTTTCTGACAGTGTAACGAATATGAAATAAAACTTATGAATAATTCATTTAGTCAAATTAAATGACAACTAAAACAATAGAAGTGAATGATATGGATTAAAACACAATGTGATAAGTATGTGTATAGGTGAGTTGTTTACCTGCATAATTATCAAACACAGTTGGTACATAGTCCGTTGGGAACTTGTTCGTAGCATAACTCATTAACATACAAGTCTTTCCCACGGCTCCATCTCCAACCACTACACATTTAATAAACTTTGTATCGCTGTCTGCCATAATAAATTGTCAAAAACTATCAAGAAAATCCTATGAATAGCTAAATGTTGTTGACATTTTCTTCTTATTAACTTTTAAAATGAGAGAAGAATTCCGAGAATTCCGAAGGAAAGAAAACGTCATTAAGGTGCGACTACAGCCAATCAACACACAATATATAAATAAAGTTACAGAAATTATTTATATATAGTAGTATAGTATGTAATACGTTTGTTGTTGGGAAATATTTTGTAATAAACTTACACATATTTAACTCTTGCTTAAAAAACATAACAACTTTCAAAATTGTTTTAGGCAAAATAAAAAGTGGATAATATAACATAGAACTATAACATGTGTAATGTAACATTATTTACAGGCTATTATCAAGAAAGTAAACGCATTCGAATTTTTTACAAAAGTTTCCTGGTTGACTAAATAAATTGGCATGATAAAAAGTTTATCAGATAAGAGTTTCGTATCAATGTTTGTTTTAAGTTATTCTAAAACAAGAAAAATAGTACAACACTAAAGTATTGTTTATCTATAAGAAGATTTTTTACATATAGAACTTGGGGAGTGTCTGATTATTATTGTATGTTAAACGATGGAATTAAAGGGCATTCCCTTTTAATTAAACACAATTATAACAAACGCAACAAAATTGCAAAAAATCAGTTCAGTACGGAGCCCTGTTGTTCTCATACAGATAAAGAGTTGTGGTTTTTAACATGCAAATTCTAACGCTGTAGATTTTAAGACAAGCGCTGGAGATGCTGGAGATCTAAACTCAGCGCTGTCTAGGTCTAAAGACCAGCGCTATAGAAATAGATCTAGACTGTACGTCTACTGTGCTGGACTTTAGATCTAGAGTGCTGGACTTCAGAGTTACAGCGCTTGACTTTATATTTAAAGCGCTCGACTTAACATCTCCGGCGCTCCACTTTGAATCTACGGCGCCCGACATTATATCTACAGCGCTCGCCGTGACTTTACATCTCCAGCACTCTCATATATAACATTTCTACATCGTTAAACTTTACATCTTCAGCGCTGGACTTAATATCTACAGCGTTGGACGTTACGTCTCCAGCGCTTGACTTTAGTCTAGATCTACAGCGCTGGACTTAGCATCTCCAGAGATGAGATGTCCAGCGCTAAACTTGAGATGTCACGGCCAGCGCTTGACTTTAAATCTACAGCACTATACTTTACATTTTCAGCGCTTGACTTAATAACAACAACTCTTTATCTATATGAAACCAACAGAGCTCCGTAGTTCAGTTCTCGAGTATCTGAATCAGTTTATTACAAAAAATAGACTGTTGAGGTTTTAACATTACAATATAGAAGCTGATGTAATTATTTCTTATATAAAAAAACATAGTGACATGTAAAAGTACAATGATAGATATTCAAGTATTTGCTTCAGCTTAAGTGCTTTCTCGTATTGTTAGGCATTAATTAACAAATTTTGCAGTTTAATTTGATGCGTGCCTGATACGAAAAAATGACACCCCCCCCCCTAAAAAAAACCAACCTAAACCAAACAAAAAACACAAAAAACACAAAAAACCCATATTGATGCCAACGTAAATAATTCAATATAAATAGACATAAAAATATCAAATAGCATTGATTAAAAAATATATCCGCTAACCGAGTCCCTGTGTGACGAGTCGCATGTATAAAATTTCGGAGTGATGCAGAAGATCTTTCGTTATGTTTAATTAGGTTTTTTTTCTGCAGAAACATGTTTTCTATTTTGGATTCCCAAGATTTTGAGTCCTTCCAATAGACTATTTTCATATTACCGACTTTTGACTCCGGATTATATAATTTGTCGACTGGTTACTTTGGACATCAAGGTACTCGGTCAGGTAAGAGCAACCAAAATAAGTATAATCAAACATATAATCGGTGTAATTTGAGGAGAAAGTTTATTGTTTTCCGATGATTTTGTAGTGAAAAATAAATGTTAAGCAGGTAATTTTCCCCCAAAATTGTACCGATTGAACGCTTGGTTTTACTTCTTTAGCTTGCTCTTACCTGACTTGGTACCATGATGTCCAAGGTAACCAGTCGACAAATTATATAATCCGGAGTCAAAAGTCGGTAATATGAAAATAGTCTATTCCCCATTTTCATTTTCTTATCCACACGACCATGAGACTGGGACCCATCGTGTAATAGTCCCACCCGTGTGACAGGAAATGCTACTATCATTAATCACATGACACAGTCATTTTAAAGTAGTTACTTCAATTTCTTTGAATTTATATACCTCAGCACAAATCTTCCAATTATGAATTATTGGAGACATTTTGATGGGACAAAACAAATTTTACAACAGTTGTGCAAATGAAAAATAGCACGAAATGCACTTTATTTTTCAAATAATACTTTGAGTCATTTTTACAGTTGTGGTTATGTTTTTAAGAGTGGATTGTATCACACGTTGACTAATTTACAATAGTTTTGTTATAGTTATTAACATTCTCATTTCCAAAACCTTATATATATATATATATATACAAGTCTAAATTGAAAACAAAGTATATTTTAACAAAACGCATTTGACTAACAGGTCGAACAACAAATGTTCTTAAACCCTGCTGACTGCCATTGGCGATTGCCAAATAAACGGATCACCGATGTAATAAATGGATCTTAAATATAAATTTAATACTAAACAGAAAACAATAAACTTGCGGAAAAGATGTTATACATATATATTGAATTTGGTAGTTTCAAGTTAAATAAGTTTGGAACTATTAAGGCTACCTCAAGTTTAACTAAGTTTGTGGCCTCGTTTTTTGAATGAACAAAATTCTATATTCGTCCCAAATGTGAAAAAATTGACAGTTTTCGACAATTTTTCAAGGAATAAAGTTCCATAACTCCGCAATGTCATATCAGAAATTTGTTAAAAAAACAAAAAGGGGCCTATTTCAATAGATATAAACAAGCCACGAAAGTTTCATGAAAACTGCTCAAAGCGTTATTGAGTTATTGTTCAAAAACTGGAAAGCGTGCTCACGTCAAGTTTCATGAAAATTGGTGAAAGTGTTTTTGAGTTATTGTCCGAAATGTTGACGACGGACGGACGGAAAACGGTTTACCATAATACGTCCCTTAAAGGGGCGTATAAAAATAGGTAAAGTCCAATAACTTCTGTAAAAATAGTCAAATCAAAATAGCGCTACAATATGGTAAACTACAAATGATGACAAACAATCATACCAAGTATGATAGCTTTCAATAAAACGATACTAGAGAAATTACGTTCACTAGGTGTTTTTGTCACTATGGTCAAAGTCTCATAACTTCTTTTTTTTCCGAATTGTATCATACTTTTAATATTGATAATTTTGACATTTTGTTAGAAGGATACAAAAAATACCGATACCTTATCTCGGCCTCTATAAACATTAATAGTATTTAATGATTTGATTTGGTTAGTACTAATTTGTTATCTCAGTTCTAAAATATAACATAATGTACATTTCTAAACTATAATATATCCATATAGCTTCCATAGTATCTTTTAATAAAGAATGATCAATATATTTGAGAAAGACGAAGAAAAAAATTTAATAAATAAAAATAACAGAAAGTTGGATTTTTGGCAACATCAAAAATATGTTTTAATTACAGAATTCGTTAAAGCTCACAAGGATATTTTTTTTATATTGGTACCAGTAACTATGAAAACATGAATGTAGTTATAAACATAACCAAAACAACAAGCATAAAAAAAACATTACAATAGTAAATAGTATATAACATATATGGTGGGTGTCTTCAACCTATGCCAACATTTGATAAATTAATATTCAACCTATGCTTACATCCAAAATACAATAAGTGTTGTTATAACACTTATTAATTAATAACAGGTAAAATACAGTCAGTATATTTAATCTTTGAATATTAACTCTTTCAAAAATTAGAAACAAAAAGTATTTACAAGATTGTGTTGTAGTAAAAATGAATTTATTAAAAAAAAAAAAAACAAGTAACAAAATATACAAAAATACCATACTTAAACATCTTTTTTTAAATCAAATTAATTTTGCAATATGAAATTTAAAATAAATATCAAATAAAATGATGTTTTTTTCTTTATTTATTACACGGCGGCTTTCCAGTGGGACAGTGCGCCCTTTGATTATTTAGTTTTACTTTAGGAAAAAATACTCTGTGTGGCAAATACACAGTTAGATATTCAGTTTATCACCAATAGAGGATACCAATAGGGCATCGGTGGTCGGGTGGTCTAAGTAGTCAGAATTATTGTATAACTAGCCTGTCAACACTGAGGTTGTAAGACTCCATAACTTCCATGCTTTTGTCGATGGAGCCATCATATTGGTAAAACTACTGAAGAAACAGCAAGCAGCTACAGAGTTTAGAATAATCCAGAACTCAGCAGGTGGTAAACATCGTCAAAGAAAGTACGTTGAAAATGACAACAGGCTAGATGACCTAAACTGGAGACTCTAGAATGACAACATGACACCAGTTGAGTGTGCAGATGCATCATCATATCTTCTACATATACATTAGTGCCACCGAGGCCCTATTGGTATCCATTGTGGATTAGACTAATCTATTGGTGACAAACTGAATATCTAACTGTGCATTTGTCATACTGACTTGCGAATGATGGAAGTTGGCGACACAAAATGTAACCACAAATCTTACAGCTCAGTTTAATAAATAAAAACAAACACCGAGTACTTTTTCTAAAGTAAAAGAAAGTAAATAAAGGGCCCATTGTCCCACTGGAAAGCCGCCGTCTAACAAATGAAGAAACACAATCATTTTATTCAACATTCATTTTAAATTTCATATTGCAAAATTTCAAAGTTTTATATATATATATATATATATAAGTCTAGAGATTTGCACAACGATACTAATATAAGATGGTATTATATATATATATATAAGTCTATAAAAAGGACCAACCAGCAAATTTACTATGTACCGGATCGTCTAGAATAGACGATACTGTGCAGATAAGGAAAAAATTATATAAGTCTAGAGATTTGCACAACGATACTAATATAAGATAGAATTATATGAAGATGTTGTTATTAAATCGTGTTGACAAATATTTCGGCTTAAC